TAAATAGTGCAGACACCAAAAAATGCAAGGATAAAGTGAAAGTTTGGACACAGGTCAAAAATTAAAAGAGCATGGCTTGCAACATCTATACCGAGACTTTCCCTGAAGTAATGTGAAAACAGTTACGTGGGAGAATAAGTCTGAACAAAGAGGAGATGTTTAGTCCGTATACTACTCATACACATTTGTATGTTAGGGATGTGAGCACCCCATTTCTGACAATGGTCATTTTGACGGTATATATAGCAAAAACATATCAAAAAATTTGTGCTGTTGATATCTCGCTGTTGTCGGCTCAAAATCATCGCTGTTGAAGTGTAATAAAATTTAACCATTTTTGAAGCGCATCATTACATGAATTAAATATGAGAATATCTAACGCAAGCGAACATGGTCAAAGACCCATGACCTTCCATAAATGACTTCAAATAAATGACTTTAGTGGGATCGTAAAAGAATTGTTAATATCAAGCAGCCTGGTGCAATGGTTACTTTGATTCTCTGTTGAGTTAGTAGAATTGGAAAGGAATTGTCTTTTACAAGCTGCTCTAGCTTGGTGCAACGGTCAATTTAATCCTTTATTGCTCACAACTTCTCAGCAAATGAAGAAAAAGCTAACAGAATTGGAGAACAGAAAAAGTATTATGTTTCATGAAGGTAATACTAGACCACATACTTTTGTGATGACTCGAAACAAATTTACAAAACTAAGTTGGAAAGTTTTGATATATCTGCCATATAGAGGTTGCACCATCCATTTAGCTACCATTTAATTCGATCTCTGTAAAACTTTAATTAATTTTAAAAAATAGGGCAACTAAAGAGCTGCTGAAGATCGCATGGTCAAATTTTTCGCATATAAAGCACAGAAGTTCTGAACCAATGGAATTATAAGGCTACCCGAAAAATATAACATAGTACATAGTAACGGCCAAAATAAACTTTTTATTAAATTTAATTTTATAAACTTTATTAAAATTAATTTTGAATTTAAAAAAATTGTTTAAAAATATATACTTTACAAATATTTAAAAACTGTTTCAATATTGTACTTATGTATATTTTTAATTATACGGTCTTCGCAACATCTATTTGTTTCATGTAGTTGCCTAGGTCCCCTTTGACACGTTACACACATCTAGGTAGTCCTAATAATGCACACCGTTTATAGATAATGGTGTGAAAATATTAATAATAGTATAAAATAATATTTGTATATAATTAAAATAATAAGTAAATTAATTAAAAAAAACAAATTTTTACACATTTTATATAGTCACCATGCGTTTCCGATGCATATAAATAACATATAATTTGCTGACTCTTAACAACTTCTCACTAAAACAGCAATAATAATTAAAAAATGTATTTCTATTTTACAACGCCAAATGCTACAATATAAGTTAGAGGGCTCTGTATATAGCCTTCGAGCATGAGTTTAATTAAAACTAACAAGAAATTTTAAATAAAAGGATCAACAGTATGAATATCCACTCCAAAAGTAAAGAATGCTTTTATTCAAGTACCAGAAAATTGTTATATTTCGCTTAGTATTACTAATTATTTACACTCAGGAAACAAAGCATGCGAGAGATAATGAAATGCAATTACTTCGTTTCATACAAGATATTAAACTGGAAAAAAATTTCAAGACCTTACTGATTCTAAAAACTGAAAAGGAACTGTGCCTTGATGACACAACTTTAAGAGAAATAAATGTGCCAGTCGTGCTTTGTGCAAATATGAGTGAATGCAACTTAACGAATAGTACCTGGAATAGAGCAATTTTGGTATTCTCTTGTTTACGACAAGTACCAGATTCTAACTACTTTAAAATGCTTTCCAAATGCATCGGACGATTACGCAAGGTGAGAATAGTCTTTTATTGGTCTAAGCCATACTTCGAAGTTGAATCAAAACAAGAATTGATGAAATTATTTACAAATTGTTTCAAAAATTTTATACATCATGTCATCAGCATTTATAGTGATTTCTCATCTAGTCAAATTCACTATAGTTATACCAATTTTCCAACTTTTAATTTAATAACATCAAAAAAAGCGGAAAAATTCTTTCCAAATCGTATGAATAATCTTCAAGGTGCACCAATTCGTACCATACCCGACCAAAATGAGCCACGTTCAATTGTGTATCGCACTACAACAGGCCAGATCAAAATTTCGGGTTATGCATACAATATTGTAACCACCTATGCCGGAAAACATAATGCAACTTTAGTATATCCAATACCCGTGAATCCAGAAACAGTATATTTTTATACTGATATACATAAAATGACCATTAACAACACAATAGATATACCAATGAGTATGACGAGTCCAGTTAAAGCCATTAATGATTATGAATATAGCACAATAGGAGAACTAGCAATGTGGTTTCCGATGGTGCCACTGATAACACCAATTCCAATTAAAGAAATATACATTTTTATAACAACTTCAACTTTTTTCCTAATAATAATTATTTTAATAATTAGTTTCTCAATTTTCTTCATACTCCACAACCCACGAGGATGTCATAAAATTGTTCATTACTTTACGATGTATGCAATAACGATTTCATTACGCGGTGTACTCGGACAGTCCATAAATTTGAGTATGTCACGGAAGCCAATCGTAAAGTTCGTTTATGCGGTTCTATTCATTACTGGAATTTTTGTTAGTACCACTTACATTGCATATTTGCAAACGTATTTGACAACTCCACCCAAACCAAAGGAAATAACAACATTCACTGAACTGCTACAGTCTGGAGTGAAAATACGTATTTCACAATCTGAATTTAATATATTACCACTCTACACCGGGCAAATATTTTGGAAGTCGTACAGTGGAATTTTTGAAATAATTCCGACAGTAAGTGAATTTTATGAGCTGCGTAAGACAATGGATGCTCATTACGGATATCTCGTATCGAGCTCACAGTGGCAAGTATTTCTGCGTAAGCAATCACGTTTACCCAGACCGCTCTTTCATATACCCGAACAAATGTACTTTACAAAAGGTCTAATCTTGGCAATACCGTTACACGAATATTCGATTTATAGACCCAGTTTGGATATTTTGGTAAGGCAACTACAGGAGTCCGGTTTGCTTAATTATTGGCAGTACTTATCCTTTGATTATATGGTAAGGGCTAAAAAAATACAAGTGAATGCGATTTGGTATAATGAACCGGCGAAAAGCTTAACTGTTTGGGATTTTCAATGGATTTGGGTATTATATTGTGCAGGCTTGTGTATAAGCTCCATATTTTTTATTATCGAAATCACTTATTTTAAAAAACTAAATACACAAAAAACTAGTTTAAAGTAAATTAAATTTAAAAACTTGATTAAAATTAATAAAAAAAAATAATAATTAAAATCAAACAAATATTTTTATTTTTAGTAAAATGGTACATTATGGCTAATATAAACATTAGTTATACCATAAACTCTTTCCATGGTAAATGTATTAATATTCGTATTAATATTAATTTTAATATTCAAGAAGTTTGCTTAAATTATAATTTCAACGAAATAATTTATATATTTGACAATATATACAATAAATTATAAATTTGTACCTATTTTTGCATGGCTATTGACTCACTTTTTGTTTAATGTTTCTGGTTTGTCCCATTTTAGTTACTACCGACTGGTCGACAGATTGATTCGAGTTGTTAGAGTCATTTGAATTGCGATTGAATAAAGAAATTGAAAGCTAAAGGTGCTCAAATTAATCAGAAGGAATGGGTTGATTTTTCTAATACTAAAAATACAATTCTTTATCCATGTAGAAACTGAGACACATTTACTGCTAAGATGTGATACATTTACTATGTAGTTCTAATACAACATCAATAGATTATCATTTGTTTCAAATCTCTTCAATACCCTCCCATATATATAGGTAAAATGTTAATTCCGAAAAATAACTGTAATAAGCACTGACAACTTATCATTCTCAAAGCTAAATTTTTAGAAATCCTCAATTAAAGAATAGTGGTGCCAGCCGAAATATGACAGACTATGATGGATAAAGACGATGATGGACATGATAGATAAATAAATTGCTTAATTAAGTAATAGTAGGTTCATCCGTAATATGACAGAATATGAGGAACAAAGAAGATGATGGTCACGTCCGACATATGAAGTAATTTTATAACAGGTCAGTACGCAATATATATAGCAATCTAAACATGGGCTATAATAATGATAGCTAAAAGTCACATCTCAACCCTTTGAAATATATACGTTATATTGAGAGTTACATCGATAGTTTATAAAATAAATACTTCGGTTTTCTTGGATTTCTAAAGTAAATCTATGTCACATAATCACGTCAGGTACATTGTAACTAATATATAAGTCGTAATTTGCGGTAATATTTTAACACTAATGGTAAAATATTGGATAAGTGATATTAGTTAAATTGTCAAGTTATTTAATCGCAACAATATCTATAACAATTCGTCAAGAATTTCTGGCTAATAAATACAATAAATTTTCTTGATAATAGTAATAATTTCAATGAAAGTAAATCTTATAAGAATTTGTTCCATACTGCTTAAGTCGTGTAGACGACCCTGAACATAAATGGTTCACACTTATTGAATTTCCTAGTAGTGAAAATTATAAAAGTAGGAACTTTAATCCTTATGGAAATGTAATTACATTTACTAGAGTTTTTTTCTCTTTATTAAGTGCTTATGTATTTAGATTGTTAAGTTGAAAGTAGGAGATCAGCTACTTATGAACAAATGACTTTCATTGCTACTTTTTAAAATTTTAATAGAAATTGATTAATTCTTTTATAGATAGAATGCATATTTGAATATATAATTGACTATTTAATTTTTAAGAGACATTACACGCGTATTTAATTGAGTAATTATGTCCAATTATTCTATTAATTATGTGACTTTAATTCGGCAAAAAGTCTATAAAAGCTCAGTCACAAGTTCCAAAAATGTTATTGTGATTTTTATCCGAAATGGAGTCAGTAAGCAGTACAGAATTTTTGAAACCTCTCTGGTCTTGTTGGAAAATTTTAGGCGTTGCACGTCTTAAAGTAGAACATAAGAGAGCATATCTCTTATATGGCATACTATTTAATATTGCTGTGACAATTTACTATCCGACGCATTTATTACTATCAATGTTCAGGAACCAAAGCTTAAGCAATGATATTAAAAACTTTGGCATCAGTATTACTTGTGTAGCATGCAGTCTAAAGATCACAATTTATGCTATAAAGTTGCATCGCGTCCAAGAAATGGAAGCTATATTACAGCAATTGGACAAAAGAATACAAAGTGCAGATGAAAGAAAACAATTTCAAACATTGCGAAATGATATGAGGAATATTGCATACAGTTTCTTGATAGTGTATTTTCCCTGTATTGTTACAGGTGCTATTTCTGTGCTCTTCAAAGACGAATGGAGTCTACTTTATCCAGCTTGGTTTCCTTTTAACTGGCGTGAATCCATAAGTTATTTTCTATTGGCAAATCTATTTCAGATTGTAGGCATCAGTTTTCAGCTTTTACAAAATTATGTGGACGATTGCTTTCCACCAATGGCATTGTGTTTATTGTCAGGACATATTAAACTGTTATCAATGAGAGTTTCCAAGATTGGTTACAAAAATAAAGAATTTGCAAAAAATGAAGAAGAACTACGACTGTGCATTTTGGATCAGAAAAATCTGTACAAGTTAGTATGGACTACAATTGTATTTATAAATATTTATGCAGTTATACTTTCAGATTGTTCGATATTATAAGCAATATCATATCATTTCCGATGTTTATACAATTTGCAGTTACTGCTACAAATATTTGTTTAGCTATGGCAGCGGTGATTTTTTACGTCGAAGATCCATTGGATCGTCCATATTATATCACTTACTTTTTTGCAATGCCAATGCAAATATTTCCAACTTGCTATTATGGTAGTGAGTTTGAGTACCTTTTCGGGACATTACAATATGCAGTGTTTAAGAGCAACTGGATGGATCAATCCCCAAAATATAAGAAGCATATGATACTTTTTACTGAGCGTTCGATGAAACCCATCAAAGCAGTTGCTGGAGGAATGCTTCGCATACATTTGGATACATTCTTTTCCACTTGCAAAGGCGCTTATTCCTTGTTTGCTGTTATTATTAGGTTAAATAGTAATAATTAGAAACTTTTAATTACCGATACTAAACTAGTTATGTTGACGACACGTCTTTAAACAATATCTATAAGGTCCACCGTATCAATTTTTAAAATATTTATTACTTAAATATTTTACTTGAATTATGTCTTTGTACTCATAAGTTGTACATCGGAACAATTAATTATTTTTATTTCGTTCTTGGAGCTGACTTAAGTTTTATACGATTTATTATGTGAGATTGCTTCATATGTTAAATAGAAATTAATTTATGAGTTAATTGCTATACTTATGTCATTTATATGTCCATCTTTTTTTGTCTTGTCCTATTTCGGCTCAACTCTCCCAGGTCACGTCTAATGTGAAATTCACTCCTCATTCACGCTCTTGTATCCTACCTATGTCGCTTTTGATGCTCTTGATATAAATTTCGATTTGGATTTTGATTTAGTGAATTACCAAGACATTTCTTATCACTTTCATCTGCAACACAGCTTTATTTTATGAATCTCTGAATGAATATATTAGAAGATAGATTTTTTTGCAACTTGGTAGCCATTGGGTCGTCTTTGTTACTACCTCAAATGAAGTTATTTTGTATATTGTCCCCCAGTGTTATTCTACTGTTCCGCAGCAGAATTTTCATTTTTGTTATATGAAGTAATATAAGTTAATTATAATAAAATATATATTTACACCGAATTCTTATAATTTGCATATTACAATAACAATCAGTCAGCATAGTAACTTATTAACCTACAATCCATTTATCAAGTAGTTATACAGTTATACTCCGTTTTTAAATATTCATTCGAATTTTTTAAAAATAATAAACACTTTTTAATTATTAAATAAATTTTTTTATAATGATTTATTATTAATTGCATTGCTTCCAAATTAACTCAACTATGAACAATAATATGCTGGTGATGAGTCCACACCCACAAAACAACCAAATCCAATAAAAGTCTTCAACTGTGGCTGCTTCAAAATTAAGTGGCGTGCTGAAATCCTTGAACGACATAACTCCAACTGTGATCATATCAAAAAATGTTGATAAATACCAATGCTTAAATATACCAGTGTCATGTATTTGACCTATAAATCGATTAAGAGACTCCTCAAATATGGAATTCTCCGGTAGTGGTAGTGCATATATCATAAAATTGCTAAAATACATTTTTGGCGCTGTGCGAAACATTTTTCGATTGAAATATCTCTGTTGTTCTTCATATACCGACCAAAGTGCACTGTTAGTAGCAAATCCCATCGACTTATTTAAACTGTTGCGAAGTAACATAACCTCAGTTAGATTTTCATAAATATTCAAAACATTGCCATAGTTTTTAATAAACTCATTGCCAGCATAAAGTTCCAATAAATTTGCACCCCAAGTAGATTCGAGTATTGTCATATGCCGACGTTTAAGGTCATTAAAGCTATTAAGTTCCTCTTCCAATGGTAATGAAGTCAGAAAACTTAACATATAAGTGGCAAAAGTAGTGCTGAATACCAAACCAGTAATAGATAATAGAATTATCATTAGTCGTATAAAGCTATTAAACTTATACATTCGAGGATACGCAATATTGAGCAGAGCTAATAACGTCTGTTCATTAATTATAAGATCCATCAAAATACGATAAATTTTCTGTTTACTAAAAAGTGATTTATGCACTGTCAATAGTGTTGAAAAAATTATATAAAATCCTATGAGAACTAAACCCATTTTTGTATAAAATAGTAGTGCATATATATTGCTACGTGGAATTGGATCAGCTACTGGCACCATCGGAAACCATTTTGAAATTTCGATAAACCTTGAATATTGTTTCAATTCACTGACTTCATTAAGGGAAGCAATACTTGCTGGTATATCCAATGTTCGATTCTGTGTCATTTGTAATAAAACTGTGAAAAAGATTGATTTTCCTATTTCAATCTCATGAGAGAACGTAAGAGTGGCGTTAATTTTTTGCGCGTATGTAGTCAACAAACGTCCAATATAGCCTATCATTTCAATATTTCCTTTTGCATTACGAAAGAGTAAAGTACGTGGTTGTAACTGATCTGGATAAGTAAGAAGTGGCTGTCCATGTAGATTTGATAGATGATTAATGTAAAAAAGTTTACCTTCGAATAGATTATGAGTTTCTACAGTTAAAGTAGGAAATGCTTGATAGCTGTAATAGTTGTCAGTTAGAGAAAAATTGTTGACTAATAAAATTACATTTAATAAGTAGTTTTGATTATAAAGCTGAAAAATGTTTTGTATATGATCCACAGTTACTTCTTTCCAGAAGGCTAAGATAATAATTCTAGCACTGCGCATTTGATTGAAGTTAACTGCTACCACTTCGACTAAGCGAAACTCCTCTAATTTAGTTACACATACCACCGCCAACATTTGTGAGTTAAATTTCTCTCGAAGTGGAAATATATTTCTATTATTAATAAATACTTTAGGTATGGATTCTGTAGTCTGCAATATATTTGTATCATCAAGGCAAGAGAATCGATTTTCTGTAAACCACACTACGTTTTCAAAACTTTCTTCATTTCCAATGCGATTAAGTAGTTTAACAAAGTTTTTAGAGTATTCCATGGTATCTTTTTTCATATATAAATCTAATGCAGCAACCGTAACAACATAATGGATTAATAATATTATAAAATATACATGAAAGTATTTTATCTGTATTTTGCACATATTTTAAGAAAGTGTTATATAATTAAATTTAGTTAATTAAAAATATTTAATTAAAAAATTTTCCACCGATACTATAACTTATTTCTTTAAAATCAATTTGCTCGCATACACGTTTTCTCTGTTGTATCTTAGAAATAATAATAAATGGTTTTGTAGTAGTTTTGGTTTCATTGAGTGACCCCTATACTATCCTTAAATTTTATTCCTATACTATTTGCATAGATTTAAAGATGAAATATTAGACTAATTAATTTCACTGCTATTGCCAATAAATTTTGATATTATCTCTAAACACATCAGAGTAGTAATTGTCAAAATAATTACTGTAATTTGTGTTCAGTAATTAGCATTTCAAGTAATGATGTATTAAGTAAAATTAACAACTAGAAAATAAAAATAGGAATATCGAATTTCTATTAACAATAACCACATTGAACTTTTGCCTAATTGCCCATTTATGCTGACATTATAGAAATTTATGTTTTATACCAGCAATAAGATTTATTAAATTCAGATAGTCACATTTTCATTTTGACTCCATGTATACACAAAGCATATATTTTTTATATACATATTTAACAACAAAACTTTACTAACGCCTATAAATGTAAAAGTTGAGTCCATTGAACTAACAAAAATCCATTTGTCTATAACAAAGTCAATTTCTGCAAAAGCAACTTGACACTCTTTATGTATTTAAACATAAAATTCATTAATTAAATTAATTAAATGGATTAAATTAATTTATCACTTAAAACGTAATGAAGGATAAAAAATTATACACAATTAGTCAACAAATTTATTTTCTAAAAGTTTGTATCTAAATAATGCATCTATATCTCATCCAAACAAAAGCCTTAAGAATCTGAAGTTTGCAAATGATATCGTTTTAGTATCTCACACTCATTAATATATGCAAACAAAATTAACCAATTGCAATTAGTACTGGAAAAGAACGTACTCAAAATTAATACAATAAAAAAAAATTAATAAATATAAATTTTAATCCTCAAACATTCCAACTTTCCTATCAATGCGCATAGTACCATATAGTTGCTGAAAATTTTCTTTACTGGTGGTAAATCTTACATATAAAGAACATTAGCACAACCACTAAACTTCAAATCTTCAATATATTCAACTATGTTTCTATGGTATACGATCCAGAACCATTGCTTGACTCAGCTGAAATAAAAGTGTAATTACAGTATTTTATAAATATATATCTGAGCAAGATTTTAAGATATGTTGGCATATAATTATAATGACAGAAGATCTGTAGTGAAAAACATAACAGATAAGTAAATTAAGACATAAAAAATAGCGCATGAGGTTCGGCACACATTTCGGAAATCATATCCCAATATCCCACTCTCAGCACTGCTATGGAATCCTTAAAGTATTCGATGTGGACAACCGCAGATATAAATACAAACTAAAAATATTGGATGTATAAATGGAAAATAATATTTTTGTGAATTTAAATAATTTTTATTTATTCATTAATAATGATAGTTTATAAAACTAAAAACTAAAATTTATAGATATATTTTCCTGAATTACAGGTACTTTTACGCTTATTAGAGGAACTCATAAAAAAAAATTTTTTTCCTAAATCAGAGGTAATAAATTCAAAAACCCACTGATTTGTAAAAGATGAATCCAGATATCTTGAGACTTAAAGAATCTAGAAAAAAGACGATTTATTCTTGCAACAACAGCTTTCCTAACCCATTATTTATGTCCAGATATTCAGTTTCTTGACCTTAAATAATATATAATAATATATTTATAATAATATATAAAACATTCTCTATAAGTGAAACATTTACCATAAATACCGCATTGAATATATTTATAATAATATATAAAACATTCTCCATGAGTGAAAAACTATGAGTTTTATGAGTGAAAAACTATGAGTTTTTTAAACATTTAAATACTGCATTGCATATATTTTATTAATTTTTGAGTTTATTACTTTTGGTAGATTTTAAAGCAAATGAACCGGGACTACATATCTATAATGACAAGGATGTATTATTTATTCATTCAAAAATAATAGTACTTTATATGAATTATGCTGATACTTTTTGTACAAGATGGGAAGACTCACTAATCCTTTCACAAAAAGGGAGTCCAATATTCTCATAGCGATGCCCCGTAAATATTTCATTCTTATGGTATGGCGCGGCGGTGACGAACACTTTAGGTGCCCTCTTTCTTGAGGATTTTGATCAAACACAAGATCTGATACTTAGCATTTCGAACTTTGCCTAAGGTAACAGGTAGTTTTAAACCCTGAGTTTTCCCATAAATACGGCACTATAATAGTTCCCATAAATATGGAACTATTGTGCATTGTAACAAACAAGTTAATTTCACAAATATGTTATATAACAGCACTAAAAAATAGAAAGAAAATAATTTTACAAAACTAAATCGAGAGTTATTGTTAGCAAAATATCGCTTGAGTTATTTGTATCCATCTTGAGTAAAGTATTTAGCTGAAACCTTTTTTAATTTGGAATAGGTTATTATAATTATATTCTTTCAATTATTTCTGTTTCCCTCTCTATTATTTATTAATTTATTGTTTTTGGAATGCATTTTACAGCCAAAAATAGTTTTGTACATTAAAACTGCTTCATCGATATATTGCTTCATATTAATCCTTCATAATAATCATATTATAACTTCTACGAAATTTTACTTAATCTTAAAATCAAACTTAATTTGTCAACGATTTTGCAAAATATATTTTAAGTGATTAAATCGATTAAATTAATTTTAATTTTCACAAATAGCGCATTACCATAACATTTATAAATTAGTTTTAGAAATAATATTATTTTTTTATATTTTCAATAAACTTTATTAAAAATCTATTTAAAATGTGTAAATTTTGTCTTTGTTATTGTTAAATATCTAAACTATTAATCTATTAATCAACATTTCTATATTTGCTTCATTTCATTCGTCCAATGTAGGTTACCAGTTATTAATAACCTGAAACCATTCAATTGGATTTGACACCGAACCCAAATTGATGTGTGACACTAATGGGTTCAAAGTTAATGACAGACCTGTAGATATCGGAAATTATTTTTTAAGTAATTACATGATTTTAATTTAAGACATAACTGACTTAAATGCATTTTATTTATCATTAATTCTAAATAATGTGGCAGAACTGAATTTTTTCCATCAGTAAATGCATACATTCCAGCAAGTATGTTACTAATAAAACTATTCATTCGGTTACTTCTACTCGGTTTGGTAACAGCAAAACTAATCTCTCAAGAGAAAGAAAATATGTTGGAGCAATTGTTGAAAAAATGGATAATTCAGATTCAGTGGGAGCAGTATTTCGAAAGTATTCTTATACTACGAAACACACCACAAGACTGTTTCGTAGAAAATTTACCGAATATATTGGAACAACCAAAGTGGATTTTGGACAGTAAAAATGCTTTTGAATTAAGGCAAAAATTCAATAGCGAAGTTTTGGCATTTGTATGTCTTCAGCAAGAATTTGATCTACTGCAACTTGAGACACTGGCAAAAATTCTGAATCATATGCGATACACACGCATCATTGTATTAGCAAAAGATTTTGGCAAACAACAAGATTTATGTGAACCACTCATGAAATTCAGCGAAAAGCATCAATTAACAAATGTAATTATAATATTTGATATATTAATGAATGAGAAACTTTTTTATATAATTACTCCATATCCTTCATATAACATAGTCCTGCAATCATTTATTAAAATATCAAATATATTTCCAAAACATTGGCAAAATTTTCAAGGCAAGGTTTTGTATACTTTACCAGACCAGCTTGAACCACGTAGCGTATTGTATATGGATCACCATGGGAAACAGAAAATAACTGGGCATGTAGCAAAACTAATACAATCATACGCTAAAAAAAGCAACGCTACACTACAGTTTCTTTTTCCTATACAAGTTGGACAAATTATTCACGCAAATATTATAAAATCTTTTACAGAAAACCGGTCTTTAGATTTACCCATAAGTATACTGGGTATTTTTAAAAATCATTATCTTTACGAAATGTCGTATCCGCTTGAGCTTACTTCGTGGTACATAATGGTGCCAACTATGGGTGTACTCTCAACATCTGATATATATCTCATGATTATCGGAAAAAAACTTATTATTGTACTGACAATTCTAGTTTTCAGTTTCTCAGTGCTATTTACAATTATCGATAGCGAAATATTTTCAAAAATTGGAAGGCAAATTAAAATCAGATACATCAATTTAATACTAAACGATAAAGTCCTACCTGGAATTTTAGGACAATCATATATGTTTCACACTCAGCCCAAACCATCACAAAGGTGTTTATATATGTCACTTTTTTTACTAGGTTTGACATTGAACACACTCTATGCAGCTCATTTAAAAACACTCATCACAAGCCATCCCTCGCTGCCACAAATTTTGTCATTCGATGGCCTAAGGAAAGCGAAAGTGGATATTATGGTTGATGAAACTGAAGTTAAAATAGTAAGTTATTCTAGAGGACAGGAACCATTTGATAAAATACGAGATTTAATGGATATAAGAGACACATTAACTTTTCAAAATCAACGCAAAAATCTGAGAACCTCACATGCTTACACAGTTCCAACATCGATGTGGAAATTTATCGAACAACAACAACTATTTTTTGCACGTGCACTTTTTCATGCTCCCGAAGCAATGATAATTATTGAAATGCTTCATTTATGCGTTCCACTGCAAGAGAATTCCATACTTAAAGAATCATTTGATCATTATATACATAAGGTGCACGATGCAGGTCTATTACAATATTGGTATAGAAGCACATTTCGGGAGATGCTGTCAGCACACAAAATTGCTATCGCTGAAGGAATCAGAATGGAATCATATCAGAATCTAGGAACTAGAGATTTAAAATGGGTATGGATATTTATTGGATGTGGTTATATATTAAGCATAGTAGCCTTTTTATTGGAGTTATGTATTAGTTCTATAAAATCAAAGCCAAAAGCAATGAAAACTAGTCGTAAATAGCAAAGGGAATTTTTATACGAAATTGAAAACTTAATATCTGAAGGATTGAAAATAGGCACTTGTGCTGAAATATCGGAATATACATTAAAACCCATCGAACTGTCAAATATTATTATTTGATTTTAACAGATCATTCTGATATAATTTTTTGTAAATTATTAACTTTATTATACATTCATAAAAAAACATTCTAAATATATGTATAATAAATTATTCAAGCTTTTCATTCACTGGTATATATCTTACTAAGTGTCAGGCTTGTAGGTACCTTCAATGAATGAATAATGCTTATCCTTCTTCTTAATATCCTTCTTATTAATATTATTATTATTATGTTTATATTGTTTATATAGTGATTTCCACTGCTACTTTTTAAGATTATTTCTTAGATATATTTTAGTGGATTCAAGTCCTAACGTGAATGCACTATCTGCAATGCTATTGCTATTGACTTAATAAACATATTTTGTAATTTAACATACTAATATTCTTGCAAACTCGCTTATTAAATCGCTTCTAGAAAACTTCTACAAAGTCGTGCGGTAGGTTGTAAATAGTATAGGACTTGAACCCACTAAAACTATCTCTAAGGGAGGAATTGAAAATAATTTACGTCGAGTACTCAGTAATCAAAGTATCATAAAAATCATTTTAATAAACAAAACGTAATTTAAAAATTAAAATATAGTAATTAGAACTATATACAGTAAGTTCTCATAATCCAAAATGTGAACATTTTATTGCTGTAAATTCAGGAAGAGTATATTAGTAAGGAAAAAGTACTCTGCTGTCAAGCTTCTTAAATTTTTAAATTAAGGGATATTGAGTCAGCTCCTCCACATAAAGAGCTAAGCATTGAGACTTGATATATAAGGGCCAAGTACAGTTTAATAGGGAGTTGTACAATTTATACCAAATGATACGTTTGTTGATACGTATCGATTCTAGCTATATTATTGCTTCTCATTAACTTGGCGTCTGTAGTTCAAGCAATCACGAAAGATATTTCATTAACTTGATATTAAACAGTAAAAATTGTACTTGTGTTTAATAAGATTTATTATTTTTATAAATATTTCGTGAACAGTTTTATTCTTCAAATAAATATATACAGATGAATTAAATATATAGCAAATATAAAAATCTGTGTAAAATTTTTCGTGAATATTATAATAACAAACTACATGTTTTGTAAGTCCATGGTGCAATTAGTGTAACAAAATACAATTTATTTATACTAAACAAATTACATAGAATATATTATTTTTATTTAAATTTTTTTAAAACCTTAATAAGGCATTCTATAGCGAAAACAATAATGGCGAAACCTAATCCAACGAAAGTCATTACCCAAATATAATATAAATCCACCGCACGTAAAGGTTCGAATTGCTTGTTTATGTTTAAGTCCTTGAAAGACATCAATCCACCAGAAACCATGTCAAAAAATGAAGACTGAAACCAATGCATAAAAATACCCGAACTTTGCAATAAACCTATCAATTGATTAAGGCTTTCTTCATATATCGAATTAACTGGCAACGGTATAGCATATATCATTAAGTTACTGAAGTACAAATCGGGTGAGATACGAAATACTTTTTGTGAGAAATAATTTTGCTGTTTCTCGAGTATGAACCAAGCTGAAGTGGTAGCTGCATAAGCCATTTCAGTGTTATTGAAACTATTGCGTAATTTAACATATTCATTATGATCTATTAAAGTAATAACATTACCATACTTCCGCACAAAATCTTCGCCTGCATACAAGTTTAATAATTTCGAACCAGATCTGGACATTAACACTTTAAGATTACTACGTTTTATATCGTCGAAGCTATTTATTTGCTGTTCCAATGGAGGTTGAGTCAAAAAACTGAATAAATGTATTCCAAGCATAGTATTGATAGTGAAACCCGCCAACACTAGCATTAATTGTAGTATGCGTCCATAAATAGAATGAATATACAATTTCGGAAAGGAATTATATGTTAGTGCTAGTATTATATCAACATTAAGACTGATATTAAAATAGTTTTTGAAATAAGTATTTTTGGAAAATAAAAATTTTTCTATTCTAAATGAAAGAGAAAATATTATATAAAAGCATAAACTGATGAGTCCAAGTTTTGTATTGAATAATAAAGCATATATATCGTAATATGGGACATGTTTCGGAACGGGCATAATGGGAAACCATTTGGATATTTCAATAAATTGAGTATAACTTTCTAAGTCGCCGACTTCACTTAGCGATGCAATGCTGACTGGTATATCCAATGATTGATTTAATGTCATTTGCAACAATTCCGTGAAGAAAACCTGCTTGCCAATCTCCACTGGATATGCAAACTTAAGTGTGGCATTGAGTTTTTCAGCGAATGTATTAAGTAAACGTCCAACATAGCCCAACATTTGCAAGTCACCATTTTTATTCATGAAAAGTATACTGCGTGGCAATAACTGATCCGGATAAGTTAATAAATTTTCACCATACAAATTTGGTGTGGTTTTTCGAGAGTATTTTGAGATTCCATTTAGTGTTTCCGTTATCACTGTCAAAACAGGAAATGGGCGATAGCTATGAAATAAATGTGTGGTGTTTTGATAGTTACTTTCCAAAATTATGACATTTAGCATGTGATGCAGGTAACATTCTTCAAAAATAAGCTTAATACTTTCAGAATATTCGTCAGCTGTTTCTACCAAGATTACGATGCGGATATATCGCATATGTTGCAAACTGGTGGCAAGTTGGCTTATTAAAGATATGTACTCCAATCCATTTAAACATAATATGAATAGTATATTGGTTCCAAATTTTTTTCTTACAAAATAACTACTGTCCTCTAACAAAATTTTTGGTGTATCTGAGCCTTTCCAAAATGATGTGTCTTCTGCGAAACAAAGCGATTTATTACTTTTAAGTAGTCCTATCGTTTTGAAATTGCTTTCTCTTCCCATGAGTTCTAAGATTGTAGACACGTTATAGTCATTGGTTGTACAGTGTATGGTACCAGTGAACATTAATATATATAATATATACATGTACTTATCATTTTCAAACATTTTTTAATAATTAATTAATTGTTTTATATAATTTAAGGATACACGACAAAAGAAAGTCATAAAATATACATTCGTTTAAAATAATTTAATTAAGTAATATTAGAAGAGTACCGCACTTAGTGCTCAATAAATAAAATAAAAACAGAGTCACTTAAAGAAAAATGTTGACTAAATAAAAAATACTTAGCACTATAAGAGGAAAGCTCATTTTTTTATAAAAATTTAAACGTTATTTGTCAATTCATAATAATTAAACTTTCGGTCTCAAAGGGTAGTTCTAGTATTTTTTGTTAGAAATAGAACAATTAAGATACTACTATTCAGACTTAATTGCCGTGTAATTATTTATCATAAGCGTTATGAAAACTCTAAAAAGAAAAATTTCCACTAAAAAGAAACTTAAGGAATAGAAAAAGTAATTCCAAATATATAATTATAAAGTAAACCATTAAGAAGCGCTTATTATTTAAAAAAAAATTAATTATTAGTTTAATTGTTTAAGTTTTCTTAGCACATATCAAAATAATTCACACCCGATTTCTGAAACGATTGACAATGTAAATACGAAACTTTAACAAATATAAATTATTTTTTTTATCAATATTTTATTCCGATTTATTGAGTTAAATTAAATATTAACAAATTCAATTTTAATTACATTTATTCAAAGCTACATATGAATATTATAGGAAAGTAATAAATAGTAACAAAATACATTAAAACTGTTCTTTAATTAATTAAACTATTCGAATATTGGCGAATACTCATTTTTAAAAATAATTTTTTACTCAATTAATCAGATATAATTACTAAAAAAAAATACTAAAACTTAAATCTTAATCTTGCAAACTTTGTGAAACTACAACCATAGATTGAAGAAATTTTAATGTTTAATATCACGCGCTGGTTGAAGTGTCAAAAACGTGGTTCAATAGACAATACATTGCGAATCTTTACATTAACACTTGGAATTAAGAACTTCTTGTACCCTTAAATGTATTACTGCACTTCTTTCTGGCCATTGGTGCATAGGAACCCATGCAGAGATACTACGCATTCCTGCAGAAAAAGGTCACCATAAGACACTTTCGCTGTGAATGCCCGACTTTGGCGTCCAAAAGAAACAGATTTTTAGAAAGACACTTTTTTGACAGTTTATCAAAGACGAGGCACGCATCGGTAAAGCCGAAACACGCATTAAATCATTTTAATTCGATGGGATGAATTTAGTCTATACTCTTCTATATTTGAGGTTTATGTAATTGAGTTACGTGGAAGCTATTTATTGACCTGCCACTGACCCTAATCAACCAGCCCACCCTTAAATGTCAGTAATTATATTTTTATATATACGAATACATTAAATGATTATTTGATCAAGGATCGTGCACGAGCTTATGCGAGAATTTACGAATCTAGTGGCATAGCCAGGATTAAGTCAGTTTTTTAGCAATGTTTTTGCAGCATATTCATCTATAGATTATAGGAGTGTTGTCAAGGGATAAATCTATCCACTCACTCTCGCTGACTACACGACTATATCGCACTTAATTTTAAAAGTAAAGTGGAAACTTGTTTAGTAGCTTAATTCGATTGTTCCCCATATATCTTATGGGGATCTTAAGTGATCGAATTATCCACACATTCCCCCCTAACTACACTACACTTCGAAAATCAATTTTAAAAGAAGTAGTGGAAACTAGTTTAGTAGCAATTATCGATTGTTTCCCAAACGTCTTATTCTCTGAATCTGCCTTACAGTATATATATATCTATATATATGTATATGTATATATTATATCATTATCACCACAGAAAAAAATCACAAAACTTCAAAACATATTTACTACAAATTTTACTGCAAGGTACTACTAACCCATATCATAGATGAATTTAAATATTTATATTAAACTTTATTATCTCACTTACTTGTAATTGGGTCTGTGTATATATTGCCTACTAATCTTAAAGAAGGTAAGAATTATAATTTTAATATTCATACATAATATGAATTATAAAAAAAAATCACATTATTTCAAGACTTTAATGCTTTACAGCGTATATATTTCTAATCACTGAATATTTCATTAAAATAAATAAGTTCAAGTTATCAAGTTTTAATTAATAGAGATAAAGAATAAAACTCTACAAAATTCTTACTACAAATATTATATATAAAGAGCAATAATTGAAATTTAAAGCATGGCCACTTTAAGACCGACATGAAGTCGAACAGAGGGGGAGGCTTTTGGGGTGGGTTATAAACCTGGTTAATCGAAGGTCGCAGGCTTAGGGACACCGATAGTCATTAGCAGCCGAGATGGGATAGACTTGGCTATAGAGGTAGAAAATATTTGGATGCCTATCTAGAGGGTGGAAACCAATTCGGCTTGGCATGCGCCTTCACCTTGTCATAAACGGATCTGTGTATATGACGCCTACTTATTTTAAATACGATAAGAATAATAATTTTGAAATTCATATGTAATATGAATCAGACTAAATAAAAATTATATTAACTCATTATTTTATTAGTTTACAATTCATCTACTTCTATTCACGGCAATGAATTTCTTTTGTGTTTTAGTCATTATCAGACCTTATACTATAGCAAAACATGAGAATAGTTAGCAATATTTTAATTAAAAGTGTTATGAACATTATCACAACTATCAAACAAAGCGATGGATCGACATATTGTAGGTTCTTGAATGAGAAACTCAATATATCCATGACTATTTACTTATCTTATTTGTCACTTTCAAATATTTAAATGCAATTATAATGAACTTCAATCTACAACAAGTTGATGAACTCTCTGTTGTTTATTAAAGTAGACTAAAAACGTGCGTTAGTAAAAATATGGGTTAACCCAAACAAAAGACTACCGCAGTGGCTTTATTTAATGAGTTTATTTAACACGTTAGGTCACAGCGATTGCGTTCAATTTACACAATTAACCTTAATTGTCGCTCAGATAACCGTTTTTTGTTTCGAAATGGCGCTTGATACTCGTAAGTGACCCACTACAAATCCATAGCAGTGATACATTTTTAACTGTAGCGGTATAATTCACCACAAAATATTGTGTAATAGTAAAAAACTAACAAAAAATGTGAGTATGCAGATCTTTTAATAAAACATAACAATTATAATGAGTATATAAAGTGATATTTATTATAGCAATTATTTAATAATAGTTCACAAATTAAGTATATCTTGTTAATAAATTAATATTATCACAGATATTCTTCATTTATATCTTCATTTATTTAAAAATAAAAAAATCCATTTTATTTCTTTACTCATGACTGTGCTTTTTGTTATAATTTACTGAACTACCAAAAAAAAGAATTGACCCGTTGACATGACAAAATTCCAAAATATAGATTTGAGAGAGGCTGACAATTATTTTAAAATCAACGGTATATGTACTGTATATGCCTATCATGTCTAGAATGCAAACAAGGCACCTTGTTGTCCTTGGTCAAAAAAAGGTTGAGAACCGTTGATCTAAAGTCATCAAAAATAAAACTCTTTTCATATCATTAATAAGAATAATCCTATATCTGTTGCATTGCATTTTATTAAAAAAGACTTACAACAAATTACTAACAACCGTATAGAAGGTCGAAGAGGTATTGGGCGAAAACAACTCTCTGGGTTAAGAAATATCCGCACCTGGACAGGCGAATTGATACACTCTGCGCCATCGAGAGAGCTTTTCACAGCGATAGTAAATAACATATCGTAAAATGCTTTTTGAATGCTATATAGATTGTAGTTTAATGTAAAATGATGAAATTAAATGTTAAAAGTTAAATGTTACCTTTTATGATTAGTTATAAGTATTATTAAAGAAAAATTTGTAGTATTGAAGACTTAAATTAAAAATTACGTCGAAATAAGCATATTGTTATTAAATGCCACCGCTGACACTCAGAGTGTGTAGGCAGTCTAAAAAGAAGAAGAATACCGATTAAACTATGTATTTTCTTTCTCTCCTAACATTCACTATACCACTCTTCTACGTCTCTCTAGCTCGACAATAAAATCAATTTAATATTATAAGTAGAAAACATTTAGAAACACAATTAACGGTCGCAACTTATAGTATATCTAAGTTTTAGCCATGAGTTCACTCAGATTACGTATATGCTACATTACAACGGTGATTTAAAAAACATTACATATGTATATTTGTTGACCCAAAATTATTTCAAAACTATTTTAAAGCCTGCATAAAGAGCCTTAGAAGCTCTTTATTTGAAAGTCTTTAATATTCTCTAGAATGTTAGTATCTAACTTATTTAATATAGGTTGCGCATACATTAGATTATTATAAAACAAATTTTGTATAGAAGGCTGCATATTGTCAATGAGATTTTCATTTTTTTCCTATTTTAGAGGATTCAACTTTTGTGTAGAGGTCTGTATATTTTTAATCAATCCCATCAAATCTCAATTCTTACACTCAAATATACTCAAGTTTGTCAGATTAAGATTTTTCATATTCAGATTTTCGAAACTCAGATTTTTCAAATTTAGATTTATCAATTCAGATTTTTTAA